CTTTCACCAGCTCCACCCAACTCAGCATCAGCACCATCTCCATCTGAAAGTCACGACACACTTACAGCATACCATACACCAACTGGCCACCACGATATAGCGCCATCACCCCCAAAATCCATCAGTCCAATCTCAACTCGCCTGGCAAAGTACAGAAAAATGTACGAGGAAATGAGGGCCAATTTTGAAACACAAGATCTCGCTCTGAGCCGGGATCCTCTGGCCGACCCAGAGCTGGCTCCCTACCTGGTGCGCGGTGTGACCCAGTGCTCTGCTATATCGTGTTTAGCTGAGCCTTAGCGTTAGGTATCTGTGCATTATATTGTATCCGTTGTAACCTGTATGTTGGTAAATGTTTGTTTCTAATAAATGTTCACTTTTGTCTCTTTAAACTTGATGATGGCGTAATGCCGAAAGCTTGTTTTACTGTTTAAGATATTTATTTTGCCTAAAATAAAAACACTTTGACATGCGTGAGATCATTTCAAGCCTCCTTATATTAATCATAACCATGTCATCCATCCTCGCCAACATAGAAATATGCAATATGACTTTTCCCGGTTGGGTGATGACCTTCACTTGAGGTCAAATTCTCAAAATGCCCTTTAAATGTCAAATTCTAGTTCATTTGACTCGTCTCGAAATCGGAACACGATGCCGGTTAAATTAATCTCGTGCAGGTCTGAACCAAAAGGTATTACAGATAAACGTCCTCCGCGAAAATGTATATTTTGAGGTTAAAACGTTTGCTTTAGGTCAAATCTGAGGTAAATTCTATAAGAAAGAGCATAAGAAGAGCTATCGAATTCGCTTTGCTGCGGTGCTGTAGCTCAATCTCTTTCTGAGTCGTGACATTACGCGCCGCTTTGTCGAAAAATGTCAAAATCTGCGAAATTTGATTTTTAGTAATCTCTGGTGACCTGACCTTCGACCAGCTCGACCTAACCTTAAAATGATCTAAGTACTTTTGTAATAGTTTTCGACGCTCTTTCGAACGGCGCCTACTGCGTGTCTCGACGTGGCCCACAAGCTGAGTTAGAAGTTGGGTGTTCAACAAACACCCCCAGCAGGTTCAATCAAAAAAACGCGTACGCGGGGGGCGGCACCGCACTACTAGGCGGGAGCGGCATTGCAATAATGGGCGGCACTGCGCTGAGGGGCACAACTTGCATTGAGGGGTGACATTGTACGGTGAAGGGGCGGCTTCGCATTGAGGGGCGGTATCGCAACGAGGGGCGGCACTAACGAGGCTGCCTTATAAGAAACGCTTGGCACATCCTAGCCCAGCTCGGCGCCGCCTGGCTGCTGCATCTTGAAAAGGGCCCTTGATGTCGATGAGAAAGCCCCATTGTCAAATAATTACCTAGCGTCAGTGGTTTCACGGGGGGGGGGGGCGCTGTCGATCTTGAATGGGCGGGGCGACTGAAGTCTCCATTCAGATGGGCGTCAGTGACTACTGGAGGGCGCCAACGACCTCGGATTGGGCGACTGTGATCTTCAGAAGAGCACCAGGTGCTCTAAAGGGGTGCAATACTTGAATGGGGTCACTGCTGCCTTCAGTAGGGCGTCGGACGCTCTGGAGAGGCGCATTGATCTCGGATGGTCCGACTGTTACTTTCAGAGGGGCACCAGGTGGTTTCAGAGGGGCGCCATTGATATAGGATGGGCCGACCGAAGTCCCGGTTCAGGTGGGCGCCAGTGGCTCTTGAGGGGCGCCAGCGACCTCGGATTGATGGGGCGACTGTGATCTTTAGAAGGGCGTTGAGGGGCGCCATTGGGCATGGATGGGGGCCACTGTTGCGTTCAGCAGGGCGCCGGACGCTCTGGAGGGGCGCCTTGAGCCTGGGTGGGGCGACTGTAGTCTCAAGGGGCCGTTGTCTCGGATGGGGCGAATGTGATTTTCAGAGGGCGCCGGGAACTCTAGAAGGGCGCCATTTGTTTCAGAGGGTTGCCATCGATCTTAGCCCTATTCCTGGCGGGCTCCGCCGGGACAAGAAACTGACGGGGGGGCCGATTCGCCCCCCCTGAGATCTCGAGAACGAAGCAAGATAGCGACAAACGGTAAACGGCATCGGATACGCACGGTCAAGATCTACAATTTTTACAAAGGTCATTTTCAGGTCAGGTCAAAGATGACGTCACAGGGGTCGAAAAAGTCAAAATGGCGGCGCTAGATATGGAGAGAGTTTTTCTCGAATAACTTTCGAATTAGTCAAGATAGGAACAAACTAAGGGCATCATCGTGATCCTCTCGTCAATCCGCATCGAATGATATATATGTTGACCTCGCAAGGTCAAGGTCAAAGGTTGACCTCAGGTCACGTGACCTCGAGGTCATCATGTATATCATTCGATGCGTCTTGACGAGCTGAACACAATGAGACCATCCACGCGTCTGTATCTTGTTCCTGTACGGAGTTATTGGCCAAAAACCTTTGGTGACCTTTGATGACGTCACATGACCTCACAGCTGCCCAACAGCAAAACAGACCTCAAGGTAGTGAAGGTTGATCGTATATGAAGTCATGTATGGTATATGGGGCCATTCCGACCCGTTTTAGTGGTAAAAACAGGGAGTTGATTTTTCCCCCATTGACTTATAATGGGGAGGTCGCGAAACTGACCTGACCTTAGGTCACCGATATCAAAATTCCGAGATATACAAATTGCACATACTGGTACCCTAACTAAAGCCTGAAGAGAAGAACTTGATCGGTAAAAAACTCTAGCTCTGGCGTGATTGCAAACTTTTCTGAGGTAGGGTCACCAAACCGCCTCTGGTGACCTGACCTGAGGTCAGATCAACTCAAAATTTTCAGACATGTTGCGTAGAAGCCTTTTAGGAAAAGTCAGAAAATTTGAGCTTCCTAGCTCAACGCGTTTGGGAGAAATAACCAAAAAACCTCAGGGGGGGGGCTCCTGAGCCCCCCCCCCCCCCCCCCCCGCCAGGAATAGGGTTAAGCTGGGGCAGCTGTAATCTCCGTTTAGTTGGGCGCCAGTGACTTTTGAGGGGCGCCAGCGACCTCGGATGAGGACGACTGTGATCTTCAGAAGCGCGCCGGACGCTCTGGAGGGGCGTCATTGGGTTTGAATGGGGCGAGTTTAGTCTCAAGCGGGACGACTTCAGTCTCAAGGGGGGGGGAGTGCTAGTGGCTCTTGAAGGCGCTTTGGATCTCGGATAGGGCGACTGTGATCTGGAGAAGAATGCGGGTGCTTTAAAGAGAGAGATAGAGAGATACTTTATTCACAGCAAATCCATGGAACATGGCTTTTCATTGCAATACGTCAAATATGTAAATACACAAGGTTCAAGACACAGTGCTCAACTGAAACTAACTAGACATCGCAGACTGCTCCCTAAAAATGTGCTTTTTGAGCTGGTGTCGAAAGTTGCGAGCGGTGACATCGAACGGTAAGCGGTCATACTCGCGCACAGTGTCGTAGCAGAGCCGCTGTCGACCAGCTTCAGTGCGAATTCTCGGCAACATGTGGTTGCCCGCAGCACGTGTCTGGTACGAGTGGTGCACGGTGCGACCGATAGTTTCTGCGAGAACTTCGGGCTTGCCCGTCGTAACGAGCGTGTGCACCAAGTGTGTAAAGTGTGTAAAGGGGTGCCAGTGGTTTCAGGGGGCGCCATCGATCTTGGATGGGGCCGATTGGGGCAGCTGTGAAGAACTTCAGAGGGGCGCCAGGTACTCTAGAGGGCAGGGGCGGATCCAGAAAATCTCCAAGGGAGGGGCCATTAGAAACCAGGAGGCCCCCCCATAATCCCACCTGTTGGAGGCCCCATCTTCCCACTTGTTGGGCCCCCCCCCAAAAAAAAAACTGCGTCTATTGAGCTTATCTAGCTGTTCAGGCAACATCTCAACATCTGTGCAGGCTTGGAGGCCCTCTGTGCGGGTTAGGAGGCCCTGTAAAAGTGGTCATCTCTGTGAGTATAAGAGACCTCCAAGTTATGAAAAGCTTTACCAATCTTCTAACAAAGAAGTCTTCTCAGCTAGTCTTCTAAGAAATAACTAAGTGGGTAGGTTAAAAAAAAAACTCATCGGATTTCGGCCACTTTATTTTCAGGAGGCCCCCTTTTCAGCTTTTTAACTTTTTAACTTTTTATTTTATTTTTGAAAAAAATCGGCCAAGGGGGGGGCCATGGCCCCCATGGCCCCCCCTTGTATCCGCGCCTGCTAGAGGGGCGCCATCAACCTTTAATGGGGCGACTGTTCCGTTCAGGTGGGTGCCAGCGGCTCTTCTGGGGGGCCATCGACCCTGCCGGGGTTCGGAATATTCTGGTTTCCGGAGGGGCGCCCTTCAACATTGGGGGCTCAGGTCCTATTTGGGGGTGCCCTGGAGAACATTGAGGTGTCCACTGTCCAGGCACCCCCAAAGAGATATTGAGGTCGATCCCTGCCTGAACATCACATTTTAATTCATGTTCCTTCTGTGAAACGGCATCAGCCTAGTCGACGCTAATTGGGGCGCCATCTGGGCGGCTGGGCGGAAAGGGGGGGCATGGCCCCTATGCCCCCTCCCCCTGTCTACGTCACTGTTCATTACTCCCATATAATGTGCGCTAACCAGTTTTCTCATCAATTCAGCTAGCAATTATCGTGCTGTGTTCAAAGAGACGATTACAGTGGGGGTCGAACTTATAAGAACGAACTATAGAGCTGAGTCCCGAAAACTATGCCGGCACGAGGCGTACCACTCACTTCAACCAGCCCTTCTCTACTCGCAACTGCAGACTATTTACTTTCAGTTTCATATATGATATTTGCACGTTGCGCTGTGCGTTAGAAATATTACATGTTATCCACTTTGGTTCGTGGGATGGATGACAGGGACACCAGCCGCAGGGCAACAGTGAGCTTTGACACCAGGCGTGCGGCAGCGATGTCTGATGCCCGCAGAATGAAGGCCTCCAGTTGTGTATCGGTGTCAGTTTTTTATATTAAGCACTTGGCAGTATCTGATCTGCGGACGGATGTGTTGGTGTCTGATTTCAGTGAGACGTGTCGCCGGCACCGGGTGATAGTGCTCAGCGACGAAATCTACGCACGTTTGACATTCGATTCCACGCACGTCAGTATGGCCAAGGTGAGTGGGGACCGGCACTGGCGGATCCAACGGGCAGGGGGCATTAATGGCATATATGCCCCCCACCGACAGGAAACTGGGGGGCGTGGGGGCATACAATATAAGTATGCCCGCCCCCCCCCCCCCCTCATTCAGACATACACTTATTACGCCTATAACTAACAAGGAACTAAAGTAAAAACTGACTGAAACCCCTTTCCAGTTCTTCTTTTGTTAACAGTCGTTTGACAGAGCCTCAGTTTAGTAGTCATTGCCCTTAGTTTGTTTAAAATATGTTGCTTCTTAGTTCTTATCTTACCACAGGGGAGCAATGTCGCTTCAACCCTGTTGGCCTATTGCCTAACGATGGCGGTCATATTGCGCGGACCAGGGATCATTCGCCGCCTATGCTTGGGAACAGGGACGGTTGACCCATGATTTACCTGTATAAATTACTGGAGAGCTGTGTATCGTCTCGAGACACAACTCTCCAGTGACCACTAAATCACTAGAGAGCAGGGCCTCGGCTAAGGAATTTTGACTACTGGGGCAAATCGTCAAAGTGTGTTGGCGCCCTGCTGGGGGGGGGGGGCCCAGCAGGGGGGGGGGGGCCGCAGGTGTTTGAACACCTGCGGTTTTTCCTGCGGTTTTTCGCGGATATCTAAAAAACGGCGGCGCTCCATCACCCATCAATTTTACACGTGTTGTAAAAATCTCAGACCAAGGTCATTCAAGATCAGGTTACCAGGTCACTTCAAGTGACCTCACCTCATGAAATGTTTCCATGTATGCCGTAGCTACACCGAGTGACCGATCGCTTTGAAACTTTCAGCGATTGATAAGGGCAACAGCATGTACAAAATTTATATCTCGGAATTTTCATATCGGTGACCTAAGGTCAGCTCACTTTTGCGACCGATCTATTATAAGTCAATGGGAGAAATTCAAAACCACCTCTTTTGGACGAAAGTTATTCTAAACACTATAAAACACTGTACGTGACTTTGACACACTGAACATGAAAATAGCACCCGTGACCCTTTTTTATGCCCCTGAGGTCATCTCAGTTCACGAATGGTATCTAACAGTTTTTCGCGAATAACTTTTGAAAGAGGCATGCTAGAGCGATGAAAATGCCTTAGATGTGTTTGGTTAGACGATGCAGATCGACTGATATGCAACATGACAATTTCCGGTCAGATCATGACTTGAACCTGAGGTCGAATTTTCAAGTTGACCTTCAAGGTCAAATTGTAGTTAATTTGATGCGTCTTGACGAGAGGAACACGATGTCGGATAAAAGAAAGCGCTTGCATTGGGCCTTGGCTCGTGCAAAGCATGAGTCAAAAGTTATTGCAGAAAAACTGTTCCCCCAAAATCGTCTTTAGTAGTTTTTGCCCCTTGCAGGCAAAACCGTTGGCGTTAGGTCAAATCTAAGAGAAATAACCAGAAAGCATGCTAATATGGCTATCAAATGCGCTTTTCCGCGGTGCTGTAGCTCTAATTGGTTCCCGAGTTAAGCGTCGGCATCTTGTAAACTGTCGATATTCGACCTGAAAATCGGCGAAAGTTGGCCTTCACCATGACCTGACCTTTGACCTCACCAAAAAAGTGGCTGAAGTAATTTCGTCATTATTTTTGACGCTCTTTCGAACGAAGATGGATTATGGGGTGTAAAAAGATATGCTTGCTAATGTACAGTCCACAGCAGAAGTAATGTGCGGTTTCAGTCATGGGTATGTTCTGCTTCTGAAGCTTAGGAACGATTAGTCAGACTACAATGAAACTTTGAATGTAGCTTATATGTATCGTCAGTCGTCACCCTTGCAGCTGCAATTTTAGCTATTGACATCTTCTTTTCGATCACTCCGCATTAAACAATCGCCAGTCAAAGCCAATCGTTGAGATTGGTAAAACCCTACATTACTTTAGCGGTGGGCTGTACGCCTATGTTTTTGGATGGAAATTGAGGGTGCAGCTGCACACCGTGCACTCCCTCTTCCGCCGCCCCTGATTTCTTGCCACAAACGTCTTCAACTGCTCCCGAATGAAAGAATGTACGTTAATATTGATATATTCTCATTTTGTGGAGGTTGGGCAAAGCCTGACCACTACTGGGGCATTCCTCGACTCTACTGGGGCATTTGCCCCAGTAGTTAACATGTTAGCCGAGGCCCTGCTAGAGAGCTGTACAGACCTCCACTCTCCAGTGATTCAGGGTTCGATGTTTGTATATTTGCTCATGAACAGTTCGTGAACAATGTTTGTTTGTTTGTTTATTTGATAGTTTACGAATTTTGGCATTCAAGGTCACATGTTCACCAACGATTCTCTGTTCACGAACAGTTCGTGAACGTTCATGAACGTTCATGAACAAGTCATCATTTCTTATATCTTTCTAGCAATTGTTATCATACGGTGCAGACATGACTGCAGACATGCTTTACATGTGAAAAATGCACCAGTCATATCTCAAGCACATGGAATCGTGATTGATAATTTTTCTTGCAACGCTGAGGCTTTTGCATGCCGTCATATGAGACGCTACTGTAGACGCGCGTGTCCATGTTCTGCACTGTATTCGGAATCACCGCAAAAACAGGACACAGCACACCAAAGTTCGCGCCGCACGACCGCATCACAGCACGGCGGTCCACACAGAATTCCCCGCGCAGAGGCCGGCCGCGCCCCTCGCCAGGTCGGCCGCGAGCACGTGACCCCAGCCGCCGGCAGTCGCCAACCAATCACCAGCAAGCGGTGGTCCAGCCACCAAGCGCGGACGGCGGCGGGCCCACCGAGCGGAGCGGCGAAGGTCGGCCGAACGGGGGCGCCGTGCAAGAGGGGGCTTCACCCCCTGCACTTCTCCTCCCTCCAAAGCGAACCCTGGGGAGACCAGAGGCGGTTCGTTACTCCACAGTAACGAACTCGCTGACACCGTTACACACACAACGTTAACTCAGAACACATCGGGGAAAACGCACAGCACAGGACGGCAGGGCATGGTCCGCGGCAGCGGGCTCCGGTATCGCTTTGTCTCATGTAAGACACGTTACAGACGTAGCCCGGTGACCAATGGCCAATCGGTCACCGGGCGAGGGACATGAAAAGCAGCGGGCATTCAGCGTTACGACCAGGTGCCAGACCAAGTACTGAGGAATACCCCAATGTAGCGATCAACAGCTGCCTCTTAAACACTACGCTAAAGCTATTAACCCTTAACCTAACTGAAACCAAAACGGTCGGGCGAGCGTCTTTCTCGCGCCGAACGCCTGAGGGCCACCAGGGACTCGGCAAGCAAACCATGCTGCTCAGGACCCAGATTTTGCGTCTCAGAATCGGGCGCAGTCTGCACAGAGTCGGCTGCATCTACCGACCCACCATCAGCACTGTCAGGCGCCGATGGACCTACCAACTCCTGATACGGGGGCGCCGAGGACGCGGCGCTACGGGGCAGGGGCACGGGGCGAAACCTCACGCGGCACTGCACGTCCTCAACCAGAGGGACCGGACCGGTCTGTTCAGGGGCTGTCACTGGTGTCACACAGGGTGTCACATTCACACCGGTACTCTGGGCCACTGGGTCGGAGACAGACACCATCGGAGACTGGACGGCATTAGGCTTGAGCCTGTTGTGGTGGACGCACAACATTTTGCCATCATCAGTTTTCACACGGTAGTTAAGGTCACCACGCTTGGCGATTATGGCCGCAGGTTTCCAAGGACGGATGAACTTGTGATATTCCCCTCTTCCTGCCACTCCTCTGAAAAGAAGAACCCGGTCACCCACACTGTAGTGGAAGCTATTCAGCTTCCGCTCGTACAAGCGCTTATTGAGCTGGTGCCGCACATCTGAAATTTGAATGGCCTAGCGGTAAGCAGTGCGGAGGCCTTCACACAGCTCGTCAATGTACGCTGCTGCTGTCCTGGAGCGGGCAGCGGTCGGGGCGTCGATCTCTGCGTCGATGGGAAGCCTGGGAGTACGACCAAACATCATGTAAAACGGACTGAAGCGCAGCGACTTATGGATGTGGGACCTATAGCCGAGCATTAACAGAGGTAAGTGCCTGTCCCACTCTGAGTGATTCTCGTCAAGATATTTGGCCAGCATCCCCAATACTGTGCGGTTCACCCGCTCGCACCGACTGTTACCCTGGGGGTGAAAGGCTGTCGTGTTAGTCTTCTTGATACCCATGATTCGGCACAACTCGGCGACCACCTGGCCTCTGAAATTTGCAGCGCAGTCAGAGTGGAGATATTTCGGACACCCATACCGGGAGAACACCTCGTGCGCAAGAACCTGTGCAACAGTTGTCGCCAGCATGTCAGGTAAGGGAAACACTTCAACCCATCGTGTGAAGTGGTCGCACACGACAAGTAAGTGCTTGTTACAGTCTTTCGTCACAGGTAAGTCGGTCATGAATTCCATGGAAACCACTTCCCATGGCTCGGACGAGTACAACTCGCCCATGCGGGCACGGGGTCTCTGGGAGGGGGCATTGTGACCGGCGCAGCGCGCACACCCCTTGCAAAACCGTTCCACATCGTCAGTCATGCCCACCCAGAAGAAACGGCTCTGGACCTGCTTCATCAACTTCTCTGAGCCGAAGTGGCCTCCACACGGTCCCGAGTGAAGCGAAGTCAGGACTCCAGCTACGAGGTCACGAGGTATGACCACCTGTAAACTCTCTGGGGCTCGTGGACGACTGCGGTACATCTTGAATAGGACACCGTCAAGCAGGCGGAGACGTCTCCAGTGGCGCAACCACGGTCTCACGCCACCGGACACCAACTGACGAGGAGGACACGCCCCCTCGGCCAGCAGGCGCGTCAGCTCGGAGATCACCTCGTCCTTCGCCTGCTCCCCCTGAATGAAGCTGAGAGGCCAGTCACAAGCTGTCACACGGAAGCAGCTCTCAGTCTGACAGGAAGCGTCTGCCGAAGGAGACGGACGTCTACTCAAAGCGTCGGCTGCGACGTCCTGTGCACCCGGACGGAACACTATCTGAAACTGGTAATTGCCC